AACTTTGCAAGGCCAGGCTCGCCCAGGGGAGGGCAATCTGGGGGCAAAGGGTACATGAAGAGGGCATATCCTGATATTCAGCCTGAGTGACATCTAGGAGGCTGTGGAACCGTCTAAAGGTAGACGCCCAATTGCTTGGGCTGTTTAAACTGGCCAACGCCCTGCACAAGCTCCTGTAGGGACCGGTACTCGGAGAGCAGGGGAGCGGGAGCAGGGACGACTGGTACTTTGAGTCTAACGATTACGTTGTAGGGCTGCTCGCAGCCCACACCCGCTGCATGCAGCCCCAGAAAACATGGTGCACAACACACGGAGCTCTCCAGCTGCGCTGAGGAAGGGAGGGTTGTGGAGACTCACAACGAACTGGGCGCCCGAGTACATCAGCAAAGAGAGCAGCATGGCGCCCTGCAGGTCTAGACGCGCTCCCAGGCTCAGCGGGGCTCCGACGCGGGCAGACTTCGCTGCTGTCAGCGGAGCTCGGGTTGGAGTTTTCGAGGTGCTGGCAAACCTGGCGCAGTTCTGCCCCAGGCGAGCAGGCAGCCACGTGACCCAAAGGCAGAACGTTTCCATTACAGAAACTGGTGCTGCAGCTAGACCCAGGGCTGCGGGTTCAGCTTACTGCTTGGCTGTGACTGGATCCTCTGGTCAGCACCATCTTGGATTACTGCCCCATGGCCCCCGCCCCCCAGGCTCTCCAGAGCAGGGGCTGGGGAGGGATTTTGTTTCAAGAACAGAAATGTTCAGAAGCCTGCGGCTCGTGCACCGCAGCATCCCCCGACGAGCGACTGTACTCAAGACACGCCCCCACCGGCAGCAGACCTAGCCAACAGCCACGCCTGCTGCCACACCTGCAGCTCGGTGGCTGAGTTGATCCCAAAGGGCAGAAGGGTAGAGAAACAGGGCCCCGGCACACTGTGGCACCACTCCCGGATCACTATGCGCGCAGGGCCGTTTCCGATGCACGGCGTGGAGAGAGGGGACAGCCGTCTGCAGCTGTCACTCGCTCTCTGGCCCTCAAACTCCACTGGCATCAGTGCAGTCATTCCCGAGGGGGGTATCGGGCCCTCTGCAGTCAGTATCTCTTACTGCCCTGAGTACGTCTCATGAGACCAGGCAGCCCAGATGTGCTGGCAAAGTCCCCGTCTGGAGAGGACGCTCATCACACCAGGGGATCTCTCAATGGGGTCACCTATTCGTAGGCATTGCACTGAGCCTCTCACACCCACTGCATAAAGCTTGTGTCCCCATTTCTAATGGTCAGCTCCCACCCAGGGACTGCCTCTGCCGGTCGGTCAGATGATAACCGGACAGGGAAGCACTTCAATAATCCCGTTCTCCCGCAGCTAAGCCGCAGGGCATTTGGCCTCACTTTGTATCTGGTTGTGTTACAGGTTGTCCCTATAGCAGATGGAGGTGAGGTCTTCCCAAAGCAGAGGAAACCCCAGTAGCGGCCAGGCTCCCGAAGCGGGTCCCTGGCAGAGTGACCACAGCACTGCCATTCCCCGCATGCCACTCGTCCCCATCGAGGGCAGGGTGAGAGCCCACTCCCTCCGCTGCACCCAGACCACCTGTCGGCTGCACGATGCCAGGCACCAGAATGAGCTGTGAAGGCAGCTGTTTATTTCACGGCAATGATGGGTGGAGGAGGAGAGAGGTCAGGGAGGGTAGAGATGAAGGCCAGCCTGGCCCCTTGTTCTAACCATCTGTTTGCTTACACCAGGATCTTGTCAGTCAGCCCGGTGAGAGCTGGCATGTGTGTTACCCAAGATGCTGTGTCCATCATATGACTGTCACATGCATTTCCCCCAAGCGATAGCTGGGAACAGAGACGTTTTGCAGACATCCTCATTTAAATTAGTTTGTGATTAATCTGATTTCAGCAAAACCCTACGTTTCCTCCACTAGCCTCCATCAGGACAATATACGCCAAAGCTTCTTCCATTGTTTGCAGCATTGTTCTAGCCAGGCTGGTCCCAGGAGCGGAGACCCAAGGTGGGTGAAGTCAGAGCTTTTACTGAACCAGCTCCTGGTGGTGGGAGGGAGAAGTTTCCAAGCTTCACAGAGCAATTCCTCAGGTCTGGGAAGCTCAAAAGCTTGGACCTTCCCCACAGAATCCGAGAGACAGACGGGACCTCAAGGGTCATCTCCTCTAGCAGGAGTCGGTCCAGTAAAAGACAGGACCTCCCCCAACCTAGCTTCTCCCTGCAGACTCCTCTCTTCCCAGCCAGGCGGCACTCCAGAACTGATCGGCGACATAGGGATGTATTGCCGAGAAGTCGTATTGGCAGGATGGCTGCAGATTTACTGTGCTCAAATCCACTCAGCGCAGATATTAAAGCAGAGCCGCATTAAACTCAGAGCTTCGCATTAAAATAATGAGGGCTGCCAAGCCAGGGCTACCATTAACCAAGCGCAAATCATCCCAGTTGGCTCAGTGGTGAGAGACCGAAGCAGCGTCAGTGTCTGGAATACTCCGTGCATGAGACAAGACAGAGACGTGACAGAGGTCTCTAAAGAAGAACTGGGCAGCATGAAGTGAAGCATCTGTAAGTGAAAAGGGGATCTAGACACTCAGCTTTATTGTACTCTCAGCTTCTACTTTTAAATGTCACCCTCTCTCGACCGCGTCGCTGTCAACACACAGACTGTCCCGTGTGTGTGACAAAGGCAACGGCTGATGCAGGAAGGAAACATTCAGGTCAAATCTGGACCAAGCTAATCATCATCATCTGACATCTCTACTGTCCCTTTCAACCAAAGGGCTTTGCAAATCCTACTTATAGAGGAAGCCATTCACACACAGCTCAAATGCAACCACATCTAAGGTGAAAGGCAGCAATCAGATGACAGCTATTCACTGCTCAACTGGGGGTGGAGGAAGAGGAGATGTTTTGGCTAAGGACAATGTGACAAACCCCTTCCTTTACAAAAAACAGTGCCAATGAGATCCGAGCAGACAGGGCCTTGGCCTTCCAAGGTCTTGCCTGAAGGAACCCCACACAATGGACAGAGGAAACCCAGTTTAGCTCACACGGAAAAAGGAAAAGCTGGGCTGGATTAGACACCATGGAACCCCAATGGACCGGCCTTGATTTGCGGAAATTCCCTTCGAGGAAATCCAGGTAGGCTTTGGTGCCTCCACTGCACAGTCCCCAGTAGTTGGAAAGTCTGAGGACCCAAGGCACAGACCTAATGCCCGCTTAAGGGGTTTTCCTACACACCGGCCAGGTGTCAAGCCGCTGATCAGCCCACTAAAAAGTTACAGGGAGCTAATCACAACTGGGAGAAGAGCCCAAGGATTCAGTGCTGCACCGAGAGGACCCTCACGCATGCTCCCCCTCCTAGCATGCAGCCTCTTAGCTAGGGAAGCTCGCGACCAGCCCTTCTACATGGGGGCCGCAGAGGCATTCCCCAAAGGCAAGGGAGGCTCCAGGCTGGAGGCAGAAAGGGAGGGATGTGGAAGACGCAAGCCGTTAAAAGCCGCAGTCTGTTAAAGCAAGCAGAACGATGACACGGTTGCAGCGCTTTGGGAGCAGACGCCACCTGGCAGGCAGCTCATGGGCATCCGAGGAGCTGGTCTTTTGCTTCCATAGCAGAATGCAGTAAACTAGATGAGGTTTCTTTAAAGCAATAGTAACACACCTTGCCTATCCAAGCGCTCTAGGCACGCTGACAATCTTACCACCGCACACTACACCCAGAAGCATTGAAAAACAAACACTCCAACAGGAACAAATTAATTCAGTGCAGCCAGACAGTGAATCAGCAACAAAAAGGTGAGTAAATTAGTAAATGATGTTCCTGTAACTGTCCCAGTCATGCTAAGGCAGGATTAAAGCACACTGATAGACACAGTGAGAACTTCAAGGCATCTGGAATGACAGACCTTGCAAAGAAATAGGGCAACATGACACAGAATAGCTATTAGCCAATTGCATCTTTAACACCATAAGACGTCTCCTAGGCTCATCGACTCTAGACTTGCAAACTAACATTATGCCAAACGCATTAGGAGAAATACAAGCTCGGTATTAATGTCTGCCACTCGTCACGCTAACGTGCAGCACGGCCACCCCAGAGCTTCTCTTTTCACTGGTTAAAGCCATCTCGGTCACACCTCTCCCAGTCATCACCAGACTCCAAGGGACCTTCCCCGTCCAATTACCACACTGCTCTACTCTAAAGTGCTCAGTAACAGAAGTGACCTTTGAACACGTATCTCAGCCCCTAAGCAGTGAGCCAGTGTAGGTGTGTCTATATCGGGGTGAGTCCCAGCACTCAGTATGCACAGGCCAGGAACGTGACCGCCCATGGAGTATTTATCCCCACACAATCTAGCCCCAGACATAGTGCCAAGGAATTAACGGCACCTGTGGCCGAAGCAGCCCCTTTCTGAGCAGGGCACTGATCAGGTGTCCTGCTATACATGCCTTGTGCAGAGCTGAAGGATATTGGACTATAAATAATGCACGCTCAGGTGATCTGAGAATGGAGATTTTGGCAAACTCCCAGTGCCATCTCTGCAGCTTTGGGGCAGCTCTGGCAGGTAACGCAGGGCCAGCACCGAAGGGCAGTTTGGGGCGATTCCCCTGGCAGTATTAGGAGAAGAGACACAGATGCCAAGACCACAGCCAATCATGCTGACCAACACTGCCTCCCTGGACGCCCCATCTGTCGTCTCTTGTCTGGCACTTGGATTGTGAGCCGTCTGGCCCAGGCACCAGCTTTTTGCTTTGACTGTACAGCGCCTGGCACAACAGGCCTGGTCCAGGACTAGGGCTCCTATGGTAACACAAATCCTGCCCCAGTGCCACGCAACCCCCCCCAGCCCAGGCAGCCCACCTCCTCCACCCCGCCAGCAATTCCTGTGACCTGCACTCCCATACCAACCACAGGAGCAAGTTGGCCCAGCCTGCACCCCCTTCGCCAGGAGATACAGGCCAGGGGTGGCACAGACAGGGAGGGGTGCCACGTAGAGGCAAGGGGTGCCACCCGCCTACCTGCTGAGGAGCCGTCCTCGTGGTCAGAGCTGTTGTAGCTACAGTCACTGCCTCTCTCCGGGGAGCTGCAGCTGGAGGAGTCCCTGCCAGGCACATCCAAGTGTCGCCTGTGTCTCCAGGGCAGCGGGTGCTGCTCTTCGTGCTGCACGGGGGAGCTGCGCCCATTCGTCCCATCCAGCGGGTCCAGGTCCCGGCTGTGCTTGGGCCACCTGCCCCCTATGGTGGGCAGCCAGCGGTGGGGCCTGTCCTGCTCCTCCCCGGGCCCCCGGGGTAGGATCCTGAAGCCTAAGAGGACCGGATTCAGGAGGAACTTCTCACTCACGTCCACCTCCTCGTAGTCGTGGTCAACACTGCCCTCCCCGGGGCCAGGCGTGTTCTTGGCATGGGGCTGCCGGCCACGGACTTCCCTAAAGATGGGCTCACTGCCATGGGGGTGCCTAGTGGGGGGCTCACTACCATGGGCCTGGGCAGGGACAGGAGGATCGCTGCCATGGGGGTGCCCAATGGGGGGTTCGCTACCATGGGCTTGGGCAGGGATGGGGACAGGGGAATCCCTGCCATGGGGGTGCCCAGTGGGGGGCTCGCTACCATGGGCTTGGGCAGGGATGGGGACAGGGGGATCGCTGCCATGGGGGTGCCCAGTGGGGGGCTCGCTACCATGGGCTTCCCCAGGGATGAGGGACTCGCTGCTGTGGGGGTGCCCAGTGGGGGTCTCACTGTCATGGGCCTCCCTGGGAGCGGGCACGGGGGGCTCGCTGCCATGGGCCTCCCTGGGGACGGGCACGGGGGGCTCGCTGCCATGGGCCTCCCTGGGGACGGGCACGGGGGGCTCGCTGCCAGGGGGCTCCCTGGGGACGGGCACGGGGGGCTCGCTGCCAGGGGTCTGGCCAGGGGGGTGCCCAGCTGGAGCATCGCTGCCCTGCTCAGTGGCCAGGCCATCTGGCCCCTCCTGGGTGCTCCAGCCTACAGGGTGCTCACGCCTGGGGGGCTGCCGCCTGCCCTGCCTCCGGGCCCGCGGGGCTGGCTTGTGCTGCTGCAGCTGGTGCTGGATGGCTGCGGCCAAGCTGTGCACTGCGCGCCCCGCGGCTCCCCTCTTGCCAGGAGGCATGTCCGGGAGGGGGGCCGGCTCCTCTGCCTGCCCGTCCGGGGAGGGGGCCGGGGGCTCCCGGGCCAGAGCCGTCTCCAGGTAAAGGACTTTGAACTTCTCCTCGGCCAGCGCCTGCTGCAGCTGCCTCAGGTTCCCCCGGCTGCGCTCCAGCTCCAGCTCCATGTCCCGCACCGAGCCCAGCTGCATGCGGGGCGCCGGCTCCCCGGGGAACTCGGCCTGCCAGTGCCGCTGGAACTCCGCCGGCTCCCACATGCTGCCCGGCGCAGCCCCGAGCCCACGGCGATGGGCGGCGGGGCTCGGAGCCCGCGAGCAGCGATCCGATGCCCCGGGGATGGGCGGCGGGGAGGGATCCGAAGCCCCGGGGATGGGCGGCGGGGAGGGATCCGATGCCCCGGGGATGGGCGGCGGGGCTCGGTGCCCTGGCTGGGAGGACGCCGCAGACCAGCCCGGCGGAAAGTTTCTCTCTCCCCCCGGCAGCTTCCGCTCCGGAGTCCTGTTGGGGCCCTGACGTCGCGGCCCGGCCCCTCTCCGGCACAGACCCGCCTCCCCCTGGCCGAGCAGGCGGGGCCCGCGGGGAGCGCCCCGCCCGGCGCAGGCCGGGCTCTGCGGAGGGCGCCCCTCACCGTAGCGGAGCCGGGCTGCGCGGGGGGAAGCGGCCGCACCGTGGGGTGCCAGGCCTCGGGCTGGGCTGGGGGGAGCTGCTGGCTGGTCCCTGGGGTAACACTCCGACTAGCTCTCATGTATCGTACCTGGCTCTCCAGCCTTCCCGGAGGGGACAATATCGTTATCCCCTTGGGCAGATGGGGAAAACCGAGGCTCAGAGCAGCCAACTGACTTGCCCATGTGCCAGGTCTCCTGGATCCCCTCCAGTTATCCGTCCAGTAGGCCACTCTGCCTCTCAGCCAGAAATGGCCACGAGCCAGTAACCGGAGCCCAGCCCCACCCAGGGAGAGGCCGCGCTGGGGCCCAGTTCTGATGCCCCAACACACATTGATTGTGATGGGTCTGCCCATGGAGCACGGGCATTGGAGGCTGGCTCAAAGCCACCCCCGCGCAGTGAACTGTCTGCAGAACCTTTGTGGGCCAGCGAAGAACCTGGAGCAGGTTTCATGTGACAGAGTTGGGCTCTGGTGTTTGTTTCCCCTCCCGTCTCCCTCCACTCCTGTGCAGTTGAGCAGTTTTGCTCTCCCTGCCCACAGCTGCGCTAGAGACAAGGCAAAGTTATTGTTAAGCTTCATTTTGCAAGCGTGTTACACACACGAAGCAAAACCCATCAGCCAGGTGTGTCATGGCGACTTCTGATTGCGGTCGGCTTTCCATCCCCATCCTTCACCCGTGTTCCGTTCCTAAGCTCCCCTCCACTCCGCCACCCCCAGGTCCCACGCCCACACCTTCTGTCCGCCCTCCAGCGTCCGGGCCTTCCAACCTGCCCCTCCAGCCCTGCTGGCGGGACTTTGCTTCTCCAAACGTAGGAACATTTAAAAGCAGCGTCACTCTTTGACCTGGCGCTGTTTACCCAAAGGCGAGGGGAACGGCGGAACGCACCAGGACGGTCACCCCGGTATCTGGGCGCTGCACGCTCTGTCATGGATCTCTCCTCACAGCGCCCCTGCAGGCGGGCTCTGCGCACACTAACTCACTTGTCCAAGGTGGTAGAACAGAGAGCTGGGGGCTCACAGGCCCAGCCTAGTATCCCGACGCCACACCGCTCCACTGTAGTACGCAATGAAAGAGCCTCATGATTTTTTACGTTTGGCACCTTCCAATACCCCCACTGCCTTGCTGGTACCCCGGGCTGCACTGTATCCAACCCAGGGAGAAGCCCCTCAGGGCAGGAGCCTGTCCTAGCTGGAGTGCCATGCACACCTATGATTCTGCAGAAGCAATAAGCGCAGCTGGCCCTGGGCACAATAAATCCCTCCCCCAGCCCATCCTAACAGTTGGAAAATAATCTCCATTCTCGTCGTCCAAGATCCAACAACTGCTTGGCACCAAAGATGAGCTGTGCACCACACCCTGAGGGCTGGCTCGCCCACAGATTCCCAGAGCAGGGGTAACGGTGCTGGATAGCTGCAGTCAGGGTCTGTGCTGCACGTCTTGGAACCGGCATTTTCCACTGGCTTCATTGCACGCCACCAGAGCCACCATTTGTAAAGCATGGTCACAGGGGTGCTGGCTCTTCACGGAGAGGCGGGATCAGGTGGTTATAAACGACAGCAAGTGGCTCAGCTGCAGGTAGGGCTGGTGGGAGAGGGTCGGTGCTAGGGCTCCGTGGGCTGCTGGCTGGCGAAGCCTTTGGCTAGGCAGAGTGAGATGGGAGAAATAATAAACGATCCTGGAACCAGGCTAGAGAATGCGGCTAGGGAAAGCATGGAGGAAGGCTGGATGCAAACAAGGAAAAAGAAAAGGGTAGATTCTCTGGAACCAGAAGAACCAGCAAGTAGGAGGGCAGGAAAGGGAACCGGGGGAAATCACATGCTAGTAAACTCCCTAGGTAAGGACAGAAAGACGGGGGAGTTCTGAGGATTGCGGAGTGGAACTACAGTAAGAGCTCAGACACTGTCTGGTGGGGACGTGTTAGTGGAATGTAAAAATACAGAACAAGCAGGGAAGCGCCAAAAGACAAGGGTGCTAGGTCAACTAAAAATAAGCTGCCAGCTACCCAAATTCCTCCCTGAGACTGCAGTGGAGGTGTGTGGTATGCCAGATGAAATGTCAGAAGAGGAAATATAGCAAGATAGAAGTGAAGATAAGGTGATTACTGCTAAGCGGCGACTTAGCAGAAGAGGAGGTGATAGCCAGCACTTGACACCTGTGCTGTCACATTTAAAGGAAGGATGCTACCAGACAGGGTAACTTTAGGGTCTCGGATGTTCTGGACTAAGCCCTGGATTCCTCCACCTGTGAGATGCTACAGGTGCCAAAGGCAGCACATAATTGCAAAGGGAAAATATGTTCAGTAAGCGTGGAGGTAACCAGTCATTATATGATAACTGTGAGGAAGGGACAGAACAAAACTGTTGCAGCTGTGGAGGAAAACACAGCTCAGCATATGGTGGATGTACTGAGGCAAAGTGTGCTAGAGAAATACAAACCCCCAAATTACTAATAACATCTCACATGCAAGAGCTGCTAGGAGATAGCTAGATCTGGGGAAAGGGAATAGCCCACAACAAATGAACAGGCGAGAAGTAACGAGTGACATTGGGGTAAGGAGAAGACATAGTACTTATACAAAGAGAGGTTTCAGAATAGCAGCCGTGTTAGTCTGTATCCGCAAAAAGAACAGGAGAACTTGTGGCACATTAGAGACTAACAAATTTATTTGAGCATAAGCATGAAGTGGGCTGTAGCCCACGAAAGCTTATGCTCAAATAAATTTGTTATACAAAGAGAGTCATCATGTTTCTGATGGAAGTAATACATTGTACATCTCAAACAGGGAAGAAAACAGAAAATTCAAATAATTAAAGCTGTTAAAAAGTACTTGTGGGTTAGCAACCTATCAGTGGAACGACTTCCTACCTTCCTAGGTGAAGGAAATATTGAACATTAAAAGAATGCTGGTGGCGTCTTTCAGCTGGAATGCCCAGAGCCTAACAGTGTCTGGGCAGGAATTAAAGCAAAATATTGTTATGAAAATAAAGCCTGATATAATATGCACACAAGAGACTTGGCTAATAGGAAAACTAAGCCATAAAATCCCAGGATATGGCATAGCTAGAGAAACAGAAAAGGGTAGGGGTGTTTGCCCCTTCATTAAGGAGAGCCTGAACTACCTTGAAGTAGAGGTTAAAAAGCTAACTATTGAGTACAAAACAATACAAAACAATTCTGGGCCTCTAACACTTCATAGCATTTATAACCCAAGCCAGAAGTAGAGGCTATGGACCTGAAAGCATTCATTATAGATGGCACCTGCCTGTCTGTTAAGTGTGATGGTCTGAACAGTCACAACAGATTGTGGGGAAATAAGAAAAATGATAAAAATGGAAAATATTGAGAGCAATTCTTCGAAGAGGATAATTGAGTAACATTAAACCCTGGTGCACCGACCAGGCTCAATACAGCTGACAGAAGCCTGGATCTGGAAATAGCGTTTAGCACCATAGCAAGGGATGGCTGCTGGGAAATGTGCAGAGGAGGGAATGGGTAGTGACCACTTCCCCACGTTAATTACTTAGCAAGGAAAAGGAAATGCCAAAGCCGAGGAGAATCTCCCCACGTGGAATCTCAAAAAAGCAATCTGGGAACTCCTTCGAACCAAAAGTGAGGAACATGTGACTGAGCAATTTACTAACGGAAACCGAAAGACAGGCAGAATGGCTATTCCTAGGATACCAACACTACCTAGAGACAGGACAAGTGTTCCATGGTGAAAGACGGAATGTGAAATGGTAAGTAGGGAAAGGAATAAAGCAAAAAGAAACAATCCTGAAATAGTGAGGACTTAATGAAATATTACAACGGTAAGGGGGTTGCCCAAAGGGCTCTAAAAGCAGCAAACAGAGGACGCTGGGGAACATCCTGTGGGGAAATGAAGATACCAATGCAGCAGAGGTGTATGAACAAATTAGGAACAGGAATGGAACAAAGAGTAAGAGCCCCAGAATACCAAGCCGTGCGGTTGCAGGGGCTGGAGTAATGAGCTCCAACAAAGAAAAGGTGGAAATTCTGGCCACCATGTTTCCCAAAGTCAGTAATGAGGAGGATGAGAGGGTAGAACTTCGGGAGAGAAAACAAGCATTCCTGAAGGATAATTATGAGATGACGATGAAGAGGTGGGAGGAGGATGTGGATATTATTTGAAAGTAAAACTTTAGGCAGGTGGGAACTCCAAAAAGTGAGAAGGAGCAAAAGAACCGCACCAGGCAAGGATGAAATAAACTCTGACATGTTTAAACATCGACGTGAAAAACGTGAGGGCGATACTGAAATGATGTCATAGCATAATGGAGAAAAGGGGAAATACCTCAGGCCTGGAAACATGCAATCAGAGTCCCCGGGAGGAGACCGGGTACGTTGACCTCAAGCTCTGAGGCATCCAGACCAGCTGCCCACACACCATGGTTTGGTAAAGCCAGGTAAAGAATGGCCTCAGAGATGAGTAGCACACCTGGAAAGAAAAAGGTTCATACATGAAACACAAAGTGGGTTCGGAAGAGGGAGGCGTGCAACTGATGACACTGTAGGGACAGAGATAGAAGAACAAAAAAGCACGAGAACCAAAGAATCCAATAGAGTAACCTTCCCTGGCCACAGAAAAAGCCTGCCATGTGTTATGGAGAGAGGGTATTATAGGAAGAATGTACAC